GAAGCGAATCCACTTCTTACGCAAATTGTCCTATAAGGGAGCTGTTTGGTATTGACGGCGGAGTCCCCCTGAGATATTTGTCGTGCATTTATGAATAGTTTCTTTTCTCCCACCCTCTCTAGGGAATTCACATTTATAGAACATCCAAATCTAGTTACCGGAAGAAAATGCCAAAGTTGCAATTTGGTGTGAGAGTTAATGAAGTTAGATATTTTTAAAAAAATCATTTCATAAAGAATTGTGAGTTAAATATTCGGCAGGTCTCTGATATGTCAAGTAAAGCTATTTCTTTGTAGTCGGACAAAGAGTAAAGGTTCCAGTTTAAAAAATAAAAAACCCAAAATTGTAAAATTCACATTCGAAGAGAGGCCACGGGGACAGCCACTTTTTCCATTTATAAAACCCAGACTGGCTCTCCCTGTGAATCGAATTCCCCGGCTACTGGTCTGGCTCTGTGCTTCGGCGCAGGGGGTGTGTGTCTGGAAGTGGGGGTGAAGGTCGTATTTAGGGGTGTGTTCTGACATCTCTGAATTCACCCCAGCGTCCCGCCAGACAGGAACACAGCCAGGAGAGCAGTTGCTAAGTAAAATTTCCGAACCTCTGATCGGGAGGAGAGACTTGGCGCCCAGATGACTGGACAGGATGAGACTGGGCAAAGGGGTTTAAAACCAATTACGAGGAAATCGAACATATCACACTGGGTTACAGACAGGTTGAAACAGGAACATGAAAAGAAAAAACGGGGGTGGGGGTCATTTGGGAAGGGTAAATGAAGAAGAGGACAGGGTAAAAGACACCCCCAGTTTTGTATAAATAGATTGTGAATAATTTTAATCATAGCGTTCTTTTTGGATTTTTCTTGACCAGGGCTAGGGGCAGAACCGAGCTCTTTGGTCGGAGCCTGAGAAGCGCGTGGGCTCCGCAGCCCCGCGGGACTGCGCTTCCCGGGGCCGCAGCTGCGCCTGCCGGGCCCCCGCGCGGCTCCGGGCGGGTTTTGTGTTGCACGATCGAAAAGGAGGTTTGTTTGCGTGTAGCTGGGGGCGAGAGAGATGGGAGCGACACTCCAGGCGCAGCCGCCGCTGCTCACTCCCTGAACCAACGCATGTTTCGCGCGAATGACGGGCTCTGCGCCCATTCCTCCCCAAAACCTACACAGACACAATTAAGCCCAACTGGACTGGCCAAAATGCTACCACGCTGGGCCCAAGGCAATCCTTGTCCCCTCACGCTCGCGCAGGAACTCCAGCCTGGCCAACAATGAACTTCAACTCCTTCAGAGAGCCACACAGGGAGCCATCCCTGGAGCTCCCATCAACACTGTCGCGGGGGGCGCCCTGAGCGCAGCCGGCGAGTAGTGGGGAGGCCCCACTCTGTCAAAGTTCGGGACCACGGCTCCCCCAGATTGCCTCCCAGGGGAGGAGCACCGTGGCCCCTGAATGTCTGGGAGGAGCGGTTGGCTGGGAGGAGGGGCGACCGCCAAGCGCGGCCCGTCTGTTTTGGGGCGGGCAGCAGGGAGCTGGGAGAAAGGAACAATTCATTCGCTTCCTGAGGGGGCATAATTTGGGTGGCAGCTGTTACCGCCGAGAAAAGCTGGCGCCCTCGACCCTGACTTTGCCCTTTAACCCCAGCCAACCTGAGCCTGAGGGGTAAACTGTTGGGGCTCGGCCCAGTCCCACTGCTGACCAGAGGCCTCTCCGGGTGCCCTGCGCACCTTTCCGGGGCAACCTGAAGGTGCAGACCCTCCAAGGCCCCTTGAAAAAAAAAAAATCACCGGGCTCACTGGCGTGTCTTGAAGGGCTCACGGCTGTTCCACACTCTCTGCCAAGGAACTCAAGGCTTTGACCCCGCTGGGCGCAGACCCCAGACGAAGGAGGCGGGGAGTTGCTTGAGGTTCGAAGAGATTTATAAAGAGAGACGGTGGAAGACTCCAGGTGGTCAGTTTTTGCTGGGACCGAAATTCTCCTTAAAACCTGCATGTAACAGAGAATTGCCGAGTTGAAACAGGGCAGTGAATCTCATCCCTACAAATTTTCCTCCCCGCCCCTTTCTTCCTTTGGACACTCCTGTCTTACTTGGCTTTTTACGAGCCACCCGACCCATTTCCCAATCGCCCTGTATGGCTCTCCCGCCCCTTCTAGTCCAACAGGGAGGACAGAGCCAGAGCTCTGGGGTCCAGGTACCATAGTCAACACAACCCAGAGGCGGGGGTTTTATCTTCTCTACCTTCCCCCAAATCAATGACCCCAGCCCCTGGATCCCGGGGCCTATGCGGAGACGGTCCTTGCACCCGCCCCCCAAACTCCCTAACCCCCTATCGGGTTTCAAGCGAATCTCCGCAGTTCGGACCAGCGCTTCCTAGTCTCAATCCCGGAGGTGGAGGCGCGCACCAGTCCCTTTCTCAAGAGAGCCGAGTTTTCTTGAAGTGCAAGCTTCCTGTCAGCCCAGGCAAACCAGTTGCATGGTGCTGTGTCCTCTAGCGGCAAACTCTAGCAGTTCATTTGCGAGCGCTCACCTACACCTAAGGGATCTGGTCTCTCAAATCTGAGACCTAAGAGGGAAGAAAGTGCCCTGAACGCAGCCCAGGCGCTCGCAAATGCCCTCCCCGTAATGAGGCCGGGAGACTAGGGCGCAATCGCTCGAACTACGAACAGCTGATTGTCTCCTCCACAGCAGATGGTCTTTGAGCACAGATTTGCATTCATTGTCTTCAAATCTGTTTTCGCGCTGGTGTTCTAGATTTCAGCAGCAGATCTATGCACAGATCAGAATACAAAAGGAGAAGCAAGAAAATGACACCCAGCCAGGAGGATGTTTAATAGGCACCTCGAGCAGCCCCGCGCAGCTAAAAAGCCGTCTAGGGTTTCAGCTGTTCGGTGAGGCTGCTGCCACCGCCTCCCGGCCACCAGCCCGCGGCCAGCACCGTAGCGACCGCGCGCGGTGGGCGAAGTTTCCGCGAGTCCCCCGTCCCTCCTCACCCACTCCCGGTAGCTTCGGGAACGGAGAGGTGGGGAGGGAACTGGAGGACCCGCAGGACTACGCCCGGCCGCTTGCGCACTCAGCCCGCCTGGATCTGTCAGCAACCTCTCCTCCACACGGGTGCGACTGCTGCTCGCGCCCGATCGCCCGCGGGTGTTTTCCTTAGCTCCCGGACCGTTTTCCCCCGCATTGTATTTGAGCAGCACTTGCGCCTCGCTTGTCCACCCCACTCCACCTCCCGCCTTCATTCATACGTTCTCCACTCTCAGCAACGTGCAAGCCGCACACAACATCTGATATCACCATGGAACTCCAGGAGACCTCCGGGAGCCGTTCAGGGAGCTGGGTGTTCTGGGGGACGTTTGCACAAAACATAAGCATATGTGGCCACGCTCACAAGCATGCACACAGATCCGAACCCCGGGAACGAACGTGCCTCCTGGCAGGCTACAAAAACCTACATCTAGAGGCAAGATTCAGGGAGGCTTCCCTCAGCCAGGCCGAACCCCTGCGTCTCCAGCCCGCAGAGCCCCGCTACCCTAAGTCAGTGCAGGGTGTGGGGGACCCCCAATCCTGCGCACGCACACGGGGTTCGTGCAAGGACGCGACGCCCGCAGCTTTCTGTCCCCTTTCACCTCCCGGAGTCCCGGTAACGCAGAGCGTGGCGCGCGCCGCCTGAGGACGTCGGCCCGGCTTGCCCGGCGCCGGCCAATCCCGCGCGTCCATGCAAATGAGGCTCCTTATCGGGCCGCGGCTCCGCCTCCCGCGGCCAGGGCTGTAGTAACCCATTCATGGGGCCCGCGCGCGGCTGCAGCCGGGCTCCGTGGCGCTGGCAGCCACCGCCTCCTCTCGGCTCCGGGTCTTCCCCTTCCTTTTACAACTGATCCTGTTGGGGATTTTTTTTTTTTTTTTCCAAATTGGAACTGTGGGGAGGAGCAGGGAGGGGGGATCTGGAGGAAGGGCAGAGATTAGGCAGCCATCAATTTCTTCCAGTTTCTCCCAGAACAGGTGATGCTTCTAAATTGTGATCACTTTCAGGAGGCAGCGCTGCAGCTGGAAGGATGCGAGCGACCTAGGGTGGAGGGGCTGAGGCGGCAGATCTGAACTTACGGAGGATAAGAACCCGAACTTTGGCTACATCAGTCCGCACCTCTCCAGTGAAGCAAAGGACGGGTTATCTTTTTTTTTTTCCTAAGACTCAAACTTGGGCACTTGATCCCTTTTCTTGGATTGCTTTGGAGGAGACGATTTGCTGGCAACGTTGGGAACAGTCAGGACTGTGTTGCTGTAACTCTTACTTTTAAAGCGACAGTAGAGGATCAGACTTTTTAAATGTTTGGGATTCAAGATACTTTAGGAAGAGGACCAGCTCTGAAAGAGAAATCGCTGGGCGCCGAGATGGATTCGGTCAGGTCCTGGGTCCGGAATGTCGGAGTGGTGGACGCTAATGTCGCAGCGCAGAGGTAACGACACGGCCGCGCAATTATTATGCTGTCAGTCTCTAGCTCTTACAGTCTGTCTCTCCCTGTGCACCCCCACCCCTGCTCCCTGTGCCTTTCTCTCTCCCTGTCTCCCCATCTGTCGCCCAGGCCCTGCGCTCTGGGGCTCGCCCTCGGGCAAGCAGATCGCTGCAGTCAGGGGAACGCTCACCCGGCAGCCAGCACTCGAGTTTCTGAACTGCCTGGGTCGTAGGCGTTTCTCTGCTACTCCTTTACCGCAGTCCACTCTTTGCAAGGAAAAATAACAAAGTAGCACCCAACATCTCCCAGTTCAACCGCTAGTCTTGCAAGCGGAGCCGGCCTGGCCCCGAGCAGAGCGTGAATACCGGAGCTGGCAGTGGCGGCGCGGGAGAAAAGCTGGCTTCCTGGCCGCTCCCGGCTTCGCCACGCCGCCTGCAAGCGCCTGCCTCCCGCATCTTGCTGGGCGATTCCTGGAGGCCGGCGGCCAGAGGGTGGCGGCGGGGAGAGGAGCGGGAGAAGCCGGAGCGGCTGCCGGGGAAGGCGAGGAGGCCGGGAGCTCTGGGAGGGGGGACAGGCTGGAGGGTCCCGGCTCAAAGATAAAACAGTGAGCCAGACGAACGGAGCTGGGGAGCTGGAGAAAAGAAGAGATTTAAAAGAAGAGAAAAGACGGAGTCACAGTAGAAAGAGTTGCGGAAGAAGAAAGAGGCGAGAAAAGGCGACCGGCAGCCAGACAGGCTCAGGGATCGCCAGCCTCTAGTTTTGCGGATCCCTGAAGGTGACTTTGTGTCTAGGCGTCTGCGTGCTGGGATAGTAAATACCATGTCCGGGGTGCCACCCTACGAAGACATTACGGTCCCATTCTCTCATTACCACTACTGAGTTGGAATTTGTGGCCTCCAGGTCCTTGTCTGCGAGAATGCCGCCCTTCTACCCCAAAGAGCCCATGAACTTCTTCCAGGACCCTCGCTTCCCCGGCTGCCCTCCTGGCCACCCACCTTTAAGTGCCAACATCACACGGAGAAATGAGCCCTTTCCCAAACTGGCCAGGTGTCCCGGGTAGAGCGAACCGGCCTCCATCCTTGGAGGAGAGAAAGCAGAAGTCTCATCGCTCCGGGACTTGGGCCGGCGGCCGCTCCCTCCCTCCCGTGGCCCGGGGCGCGCGGATTTCCCTCCGGCAGACCGCACAGCGCGGCGGTGGCCGCAGTTTTCCGCAGCGCTCCGGGACTGGCCCGCCCGCGAGCTGAGGGAAATAAGGCAGCACCGCAGAGTCCGCTGCGCCGCGCATTTCCTTGGGCTGACTCCTTAAAGAAGCCTCCTTCGCTTTCCTTCCTTCCCGGCATCGAAAAGTTTGCTGAAGCTGAAACAAGCAGAGTGGGGGAGATCTTAGCTAAAACATCACCCCTTTCAAAAGAGTGAATGAAGGCGCTTGCGCACTGGCGTTCAACGCTGGGAGACCCCAGCGCCGTAGGGCAGCTCCCGCAATCTGTGTGCTCGCCTGAGCCCCAAGTCTTCGGTGAAACGGGATCTGACGGCCAAGTCGGCTATGACTGCGACCGGTTGGCTGGAAAGTGTGTGCACACACTTGACACACTCGAGGGCGCCTTCCGGGCCCCCCAACTTGGGTTTCACAGTCACTGGGTTCGACTGGCGCCGCCGGAAAACGCAGCTTGAGTGGGGATCGCGTTGGCCCCAGGAAAGGAGGTTCTCGCCCTTTAACGGTTTGGTTTTTCCCCACCTAGCACCTCTGGGAGCGAGGGTCCCCTATGTTGGTCATCTCATTTGCGGTGGCCAGCGATCCCCGGGGCTGGTCACGAGGATTCCGCCCTATCTCTGTCCCAGGCACAACTCTTCGGAAGAGCGAGGCAAGCAGCCCAAGGACCCAGACTTGGACTCTGTGTTGCTCTCCCTCCTGCCCCTTGGGGTTCTTACCCACTACTTTTCCCAGTTAGCATTTGGGCGTTGTGGGCAGTGGGTCCAGGACGGGTAACTCGAATTAATACGAAATAAAAGAGTCGCTTCTTCCAAAGCAAAGGAGGCACTTATTCCCCTAACCCTGGGCCCCAGCTCTGCATCCTTATACACCCAGCAGTACCACCTGAGGGAATGGATGGAGACAGCCCCACGGTATAGGACGCGAGCCACCTCCTTAGGGGACCACTCTGGGCCTCTGTCGGCAGCCCGGGTCTTTCAGTTTCCACTAAAGACGGGATGGTGAGTGGCCCAGCGGTGGGATGCCGGACCACTGGGTGGTGTCAGAGACCCCAGGCATCAACCCTGCCACCCAACCCCCGTGGCCACGGTGACTCCTTTAAGGAGTCTCCTCTTCCTTATCCGAATTGGAAAAAAAGCCCGAAGGGTTCAGAACTCTGGACCTGGGAAGTGGACGCCTTACCCCTCTGCATGTTGTGGGCGGTTAGTAACATTGCCTTTTTGTCCTTCCCCGTGTCTTGTGTCCCCCGTTTGTCTCCCTGTGCAGCGGGGTCGCCCTGTCCCGGGCCCACTTTGAGAAGCAGCCTCCCTCCAACTTGAGGAAATCCAACTTCTTTCACTTCGTCCTGGCGCTCTATGACAGGCAGGGCCAGCCGGTGGAGATCGAGCGGACTGCTTTCGTGGACTTTGTGGAGAATGACAAAGTAAGCGGAACGTACCCCCCAAACCCCGCGGTCTAATAACTCCCTCTTTGCGAAGCACTAAAGATTCCATCTGTCTCTCTCGCGACACTTTTTCACTCGCATCATCAGGGATGATAAATCGAGGCTTCTCACCCCCAGCCTCTAAATCAGTCGATTTCCCGAACCTCCTCCCACCCCCACTCCCCCCACCCGGTGCTGGAGGAGCGCTCCCGGCTCTGCGCACCGAGCCCGGCGCCCTTAGTAGCGCCTGGCTGTGGACTGACGGAGGAGCAAACGCCCTTCGAACTACCTAAAAAGTACACCCAAGGCCGCCGCTCCCCTTCTCTGGGTTAATTTGAATTATTTTGCACCTGCGAGAGCCAGGTGGGCTGAGTTGCAGTACTAAGCGGAAACCGGGAGCCCAGCCTTGGCCCGCCTTCGGGCTGTGCCTTCTCTCCGTTTCTGTTCTCCAAGGCAGCGCCTCCTCCAAACTCAAGCCTGGAACTGGGGCTGGATTCGATCTCAAATGAAGGACAGTTCGCTGAAACTCATGTGTGACCAAAGGAAACTCCCTTGCCCTTTCCGGGTCTCCGTGTCCCCAGCTGTACAATGTGAGCTTTAGAGCAGGCCTTCCCAAAGTCCCTCCTAAACCTGGAACTCAGTCCCTGAGCTCGTGGCCCTGCGGGCGCAGTCCTTGCGGGATAGGCCCGAATGCTGCCTTTCCAAATGACAGGTCCCTTCCCTTTTCTGCCAAAGGAAGCCCTGGGGCTTCCTAAGGACAGACAGAGCCCGATGGGTTGGGTGGTGCCTGTTTACAGGCAGCTTTGGCGAGTTGTCTGGTTGTCGCAGGCTCAAGGGTCACACTTCTGAGGACATCTTTAAGGGAGACAGAGGGCTGGAAAGGGTCAAGTGGCTTCGAGTCTTGGCAAGTTTCCGGGGGCGGCCAAAGACAGGCAGATGCTCGTGCCCTTTGACCTAGGGCTGAATAGGGGTTGTTCGAAGCTGCCTTTTGATGGGGAGAAGGGATGTGGGGTGGGGATTCACTGTCTCCTCTTTCCCTCATTTTGGGGGACTGGAAGGCAAGGGAATCGAACGCTGCCTGTCTTTTCAGGAACAAGGCAACGAGAAGACCAACAATGGCACTCACTACAAGTTACAGCTCCTCTACAGCAACGGTGAGCTCCTCTACAGCAACGGTGAGCCGGCGCCTAGCAGCCGGCTTCTGGGCCGCACGCGTTGATCTTGCCATGATCACTCTCAGGAATCGCATGGAGCCCAGGGCGGCGGGAGGCTTGCCTGGGACAGGGGATTGGGAGGTCACCGTCTCCAGGGCGGCTCAGCCTGGAGAGGCTGCTTGGGCCTCAGACTCATAGCAGAGACGGGTTTGGGGTGTCCGGAAGGGGCTCCACCACCCTTGACTGGTGCCTGTCCGGTCCTCGCAGGTGTCCGCACGGAACAGGACCTCTATGTCAGGCTCATCGACTCGGTCACCAAGCAGGTGAGCCCAAGGCCTCTTGGCTTCTCTACCCCTGTCTCTGACCCGTCCCCCCAATCCCCCCAGTTTGTTTCTCACCTGCCCCTCCTCCACTATTTCCTGGGTCAGACTCCACAGCCCCCCTCCACGTCCCCCTCCCAGCACCTTGTCCACTCGGGAAATTTTTTTTTTTCTGTCTCACCAAGTGACCTGTTCTGTCTGACTCAGGGAAACCCTGGGGGCAGTAAGAGGCGAAGAAAAAGGATGGAGAGGAAACAATTATTGGGAGATTCAGTTCCCCCAAACATTCCATTTTGCTAAGAATGATGTTCTTACTGGGGCAAACTTCTGTATGCTTTCAGTCGAGTCCAAACTCGGCAACCGCTCAGGTTGTGCGGCGGGCGGGAATTCCTAATGCAGTGGAAGGCAGTGGGAGGGAAAGCGATGTTGTGCTTGTTCTGAAGTCCCTTCTTTCCTTGCCCCCAACCCCTTTCCACATCTTCCTTTCCTGCTACTACCTCCTTCACAGCCCATCGCGTACGAGGGACAGAATAAGAATCCGGAAATGTGCCGAGTTCTCCTGACGCACGAAGTGATGTGTAGGTAAGAGCCGCCTTTTCCCAGGCCTTCCTGGAGAGCCCGCAGGTGCTCCAGCCCGGCCTTGGTGCGCCGCGTTCCCGGGACCAACTTTCAGGAGTGAGGGCTCGCAGCTGGGAGGCCTCGCGGGCAGACGGGCGCAGAGTGTAGATCCACGGAAACCCTTTCATGCAAGTGTCTTGAAGCATAGCCGTTAGGACTCAGAACGACTCGGGACTCCACCTCTCTGATGTCGCAGGAGTTTCCTTCGGCCACGTGGAAGGTCTCCACTGTGCCCTGGTCAGTGGTAGTGGTGGAAGCGGGCTGGGCAACCCCGGGCCCGGTTTGGGATCAGCTGGAGTTCCCGCCCGGCCTCTAGTGGTAGATTTCCAGGAGGGTCACTTGTGGAGTTCATGAGTCAAAGCCCTGGAACGACTCCTCGTCTGGGCGAGGGACCACCAGAGGGTCCAGCGGCTCATTTCTGGGGTGCTTCCTGGCACCCTGGCACCTGCGGTGATGCGGGGGCGTTTCTTCCTCCGGGGAGGTTGCTCTGTTCGGAGTTCACGTGTTAGGGGAGTTTCTCAGGTCAGAAGGAACTACCTGGAAGAAAAATCTGTCCAGTTCCCACCAGTGCGTTAGGAGGGGCAGGGAGAGGACCCGCTGAGAGATCTGGAGTGTGGAGCAACAGCTGGATTCTGATGTTCACGTCGTGAGAGATTCAGTCTACTGGCCTTCCTGCACCTTTCCCATCTTCCTTTCAGAGACCAATCCATTCCACCTTGAGTCCTGTGCATTACTCCCTTTTTTTTTCTGCCTGCCTGGAAGAAAATTTAAAAAATCAGAAGAATTGCATCCACCCTTATTATTTCAACAAATGTTTATTGAGTGCCTAGTATGTACCCGGTATCGACTGGGTGCTGGGGATCCCGCCGCAAGCAAGATATAAATAGGAAACTCTGGGAAGAGTGTGGCTATTTTATTATGAAAATTTAAATGTCTATTCCATACATGCTTTTCTTCCTCCAAAAATCTCTGATTGGAGGGAAAGCCTCAATTCTTCCTTACTTGGCTATTGCTTTAGTGAATGTCTCCCAACTCCAGACTTAATAGTTTCGGGTAATTGCAGGTTATCTGATTTAGTGTGTACTGTTTTATGGGCAGCTCCCTGAAGCCCTGTCTCCCTCCCCAACCTCGTCAGGAAGAAACCATAACAATCAGACATGTTTGTTTTGGTTTTGACCAAGTATTAAAAAAACAAGCTTTCCAAATGCCAGTGGCTTCAGCTGAAAGCAATGGAAGCTTCCTTGCTGAAGTAGCTGGGGGAAGACATTGGGAGGAGTAAGAAGATAGATACTCTACTATCTCAGGGACCTTTGATAGATTTGTTCAGAAAGAAAATACAATTCTGAGATGTACTTTATATAATACCTAGATTTAAATAGAACGCTTTGATTAGGTTGGTTAGTTGAAGGGAGGTTTTTCTTTTTATGCCTTTGTTTGGAGAGATTACTTTCTGAAAAGGAAAGAAAACAAAACCAAAAACTGATCCATTGTCTAATGAATTATACCTATCATTTTAAATAACACTTGCATGCCCCATCCAGCTGTAGTTAAGACTGACATTTTTATTTTTAAGCCCAATCAAATCCTCCTCATTTTATGCTGTTTAAGTAGCAGCATCAATTTTTAAAGCCTCTAGTTTAGTCTGCATTAGTAACACAATATAAAAATTTAATGTACTGTAACTTCTCTGTGTTGGAGACCTGGGAAGATGCTCTGCTGTTTTCTTCCCAAACTAGAATTTAAAATAAATATTAATTATGTGTAAATAAATGATCCATTGAATGGATACTGTCTGCAGCATATGCATGTGTGTGTACACGTGTGCAGACGAGATGGGTGATGGCAAATATTAGATGCATCCAAAAGGGAAGTTCTCATTCCATCTGTCAGTTAGAGCTGGTTGATACTTCAGGAAGGGTGAAAAGTTCCTTCTCTTACATTTTAAGAGCCAGTTGTAGCAGTCAATGATTGAGAGATGACTCAGGTGCCCTGTTTCTTGAGGGTTACTGCATATACTTAGTTTCATTTGCATAGTGTTATTTGGCATACCTGGGCACTTCCCCGGATGGTTTTAAGTTCTGTAATCTTTAGTAAAAGGCTCATAAATCGGTGTTTAGCTTTGAATGGGGAACAAAGCAGAGACAAAATAAATCTCTTTAGGAATAACTTTTTCTCCCTTCCCCAATGGTCTCTGCTCCTCTCTTCCCTGCTTTGGTTCATTTTACCAATTATTAGCAAGGAGAAATCTAGTTGTTATGGCGCTGCCTGCCACCCCCGAGCCCTCAATGCTCAGAGGGTTAAAAGATATTATAATTTGAACAGAAGTCGTCTCAAGGCCTACAGCTGGCTAATAACAGAGTTGTATTGAGCTCGAGCAAACCCCACAGCTGTGACTTTTCGCCACAAGGCGCAGGCTAGACAGGGCCCTAATCAGATGGGCCAGCCGGGCAGTGGGGCCAGTGTCTTTATCGGCCAGATGGTGTGAATTTAGACACTTTTGTTATGCAATCGCAGGGAGGAGTTGGGGAGAAGAAAACAAAACAAAAGCCACCATGCTGTGCGCTTATTTGAGTTTGAAATTAGAGACAGATTTTTGAAAGTTGAAGGTTGAATTTTAAAAACTATTTTGGAGGGGATAAGAGACACACTTGCCGTGAGCTGGAGTTTGGCTGACTGGACACCCTCCGTCCAACGCTGGGGCTTTTTCCCCTTCCTCAGCCATCTTTTCTCTTTCCCTTTCTGAAAAATGCAGGTATGATTCAGGATTGTGATAAGAGTTCTCATGTTTCCCCACCTCCCACTTCTAACTTGTTTTATTTTTTTCTCTCTCCTTCAAAGACTCCGGGTGGAGATGGGGAGAATAAATTGAGTGTTTCAAGTAAAACGTTTTCCAAATAAGTACTAGAATAAAATAAACCAAACCACGCCAGAGAGAAACAGTGGAACAGCTTCCATTTTCATTCATTAAGAAAAAAGAGCACCTCTGAGTCTCTCTGGGGTTGTTACGAACACAATCTTAACCTATTGCCAAGCTCAGTTTCCTCTTCTCTTTGTTTTATTATTTTTTATCTTAGAGTCAGTTTTAGAAAACACTTACTGAGAATGTCAGACTTGCTTGTTGGAGAATAATCCTAGCCTTTTAACTAAAGTAGCTGAACCTGAAGTTGGTCACTCAGGCTTTGTCTACACAGCAAAAGGAAGGCAGAATTAAATTTATCTGAGTAATTCAGGGACCTGGTTTGTTAGCTGTTCCACACTGTTTGGGGAGTGTAGGTTCACAAACATCTCAGGTTCTCCACTTCCCATTGCTTGTGCTAATATTGCTGGCGGGAGGACTGAATGCCGTTAAAAACAAAGAATGACTAGAACATATTAATGAGAACTTTTCTCTAAAAAAAAAATACAATAATTTGCTTTGGCCAACTCACAGACCTAGAAAAATGTTAAGATGGGCTCAGATGGGGCTAATTCAACCAAGTTCTATTATTTTTATACCTTTACTATTATAGTTCAATGGCCAAGTGAGTGTCTTCTATGTATGTTTTGTGCTGAATATCAACATTAGAGATGATATTTAAATATGTTACTTTTGGAAAATGGAGGATTGGATCCTAAAGTTTATCTGCATTTTTCTTTGAATATCATTTCCTCCCAAGTTCATTCCCTATGTTATACTACACTGGCACCAGGCTTACATTTTTATCTGTTTTTCTTTTCCTCCAGGGGAAATCCCCACGGAAGGCAGCTGAATTGAGCTGAACAATTTTGCAAACTTACTCAGCCCCCTCAGAATCATTCCTACCCAAACTAAACAGATTGGCACATTCTGACAGTGTGTGCTCTTGTAATTAAATTGTACCCGGCATTGCACACATATTTGGGGTTAGGTTGACATGCTGGTGATGTCAAAGGGGAGAGTCTTGCTTGAAGGTCTGTAGGTAGCTAGCATGTATGGGTCTTTTGAAACTGTTGCTAAGAAAAATGGTTTGCCTTAACTGCAAAGGTATTATGTTGACATAAGCAATATTCTAGAAACAGGAAAGGTGGGAGAAATGGGTGGGGGCGTAGGGATTTGGGAAGAGAGACAAGGGCTTTAGGAGGTGGGAGAGCAGCTGGCCTGCATTTTTATTGGTGTTAATCTTGGGATGGATTGAAATTTTAAAAGTTAAGACCTAATATAATTTCAAAGGCCAAATATTATTTCAGAAAGTCCCAGTGGCAAACTCTAGTATTTAAGAAAGTTGAGACCATTTTTCTTTTCCTTCCTACTAATTTGATTAAATTTCTTAAAACCTCATTGTGCCCATTTGCTGCAAATGTTTAAGCATCTCTCAAGTATATTTCACTTTCTGAGGATGGTAGACTTATTCACTGGCGAATCCACACCCATGAAAGAGATGGGTTTAAAAAGTTTTAAGATATTTATGTTTAATTGTTGGAGAACCAGAGAGGGCAAATGAGCTGCAGAGAGCCACAGAGCTAGGCCTGGGGCTGGGCATGGTGGCAGACGCCTATAATCCTAGCACTTTGGGGGGCCGAGGTGAGCAGATAGCTTGATCCCAGGAGTTCAAGACCAGCCTGGGCAACACAGCAAGACCCTGTCCCTACCAAAATAAAAAATCAAAAATTAGCCGAGTGTGGTGGTGTGCACCTGTGGTCTCAGCTACATATGGGAGTCTGAGAAAGGAGGATCATTTAAGCCTGGGAGGTTGAGACTGCAGTGAGTCATGATTATGTCACTGCATTCCAGCCAGAGTAACAAAGGGAAACCCTGTTTAAAAAAAAAAAAAAAAAATCTAAGACTGGGTTGGTGTTAGGCCTTTGGGTTCCTGCTGTCACATGACTTCCCTTTTTTCCTTATGTTATCACCACTTTCAAAGGGTGCTCATGGAATCCCCTAGCGTCATGAACTTAAACCTAGAAGAGACTCTAGAGAGAATCAAATCCAACACTTTCACTTTATTCATAAGAAAGAAAAAGCCCAGAGGGGTTAAAGACATATGACTAAATTTGTGAAGCTGGTTGGTGACAGCTTGGATATCAGAATGCTGATTCTGAGTTCAGCAATCTTCCTAAGGTATCGTGTCAAACTTAGGCTACAGAAAAACTACCATGGAAAGGGCAATGCTCACATATAGTTTGGTTATTGTTAGCGTGCTTACTTCTTAGGCCTATTCTCCAACCAGTATGGATGATAAGGATTTTTTTAAAAAGCCATGTCAAGGCTACATCCTTAGCCAACTATAGTTGATAGTGGACCATGTGCCTGAGATGAGCTGAGAGGTATTCAGAAGTCTGTACCTCTGATAAGCAGCAGATGGGCTACCTGGTTGTAAGGAAGTGAATTCCCAGTGCTTCTTACCAGCAAGCTTTCTTTGCCCTTCTCACATTGGTCTAGGTATTTTCGAATAGATACCTTTGGATTGCAGTGGTTTGCTCCCCTCTCAGGTCCTAGGGGGTACTTTCTGTTTGTTGTCATTGCCCCAGGGGATCTTCTTTATCTCCATCTCAGCTAATCCTATCAGCATTTATTGAGGTCTTTCTACCAGGTACTCAGCACAAGGGGGACATCTTGGGAAGTGGAGTTTTCAGAACTGGGACTTACAAACAGTGGGATACCATTTCTGTTTCCGACTTGGTGAAAATTATTGGAGCTATCATCCTACAGCTCCTTGCCTCATTTTCCTCCTATTTTAAAATGTATACCATAGTTCTGGTCTTCCTCTTTAATCTTTGAAAAATGATGGAAATAAGTGAATGAATAAATGTTTATAAAGTATACCAAGATCTCTGGAGAAAGAAGTTGTGTAAATAAGGTTTACAGTAATCCAGGCAGCTATTTACAGTCTATTTTATATATTTTCCTTCTTCTCCTTTCTTCAAATATTTATTGAGCCACAAAGACCTAAAATAATCATAAAATCATTGAATAGCAATCTGGAAGTGACCTTATTGACCTTTAAATCCAACCTTCTGTGATTCTGATTACAAATATGGGTCATAGGAAAGTTGAGAATTAGCTTCTAAGTCATAGAGTGAGAATGTGAGTATATTTTGGCTTCGGGTTCAGTGTTTTTAATTTTTTATCTTATAAAACATGGTCACAAATCCTGCCCTCAAGCAGCTTATAGTTGGGAAGCTACCTTAGATTCATTTTGTTTTTCCTTCAACTTTTACTTTAAGTTCAGGGGCCCATGTGCAGGATGTACAGGTTTGTTACATAGGTAAACGTGTGCCATGGTGGTTTGCTGCACAGATCAACCCATCACCCAGGTATTAAGCCCAGCATCCATTAGCTATTCTTCCTGAGGCTCTCCCTCCTGGCACCACTCCTCTGACAGGCCCCAGTGTGTGTTGTTTCCCCCCAAGACAGATTTATCTTTGTGAATGTTCCTGTGGTCAGGTGCTACAGCTTATGCCAGTAATCCCTGCACTTTGGGAGGCCGAGGTGGGCAGATCACCTGAGGACAGGAGTTTGAGACCAGCCTGGCCAACATGCTAAAAACCCATCTCTACTAAAAATAAAAAAAGTTAGCCAGGTGCGGTGGTGCACACCTGTAGTCCCAGTTAGTCAGGAGGCTGAGGCAGGAGAATCACTTGAACCCAGGAGGCGGAGGTTGCAGGGAGTCAAGACAGAGCCATCGAGCCACTGCACTCCAGCCTGGTGACAGAGCCAGACACTGTCTGGAAAACAACAACAACAACAACAAAAATCCAGAATGTTCTTGTCATGTGCTCATTGCATTTTCTTGATTTAATAAATTTCTTTCATTCTTTTGGTTCCTTCCCAATCTACAGTCGATGCTGCGAAAAGAAAAGCTGTGGAAACCGAAATGAGACTCCATCAGACCCGGTCATAATTGACAGGTAGGGGGAAAAAGTGATTTTTCAATCATTTGCGGTTCCTTTTCTTCATGAACCTTTTGAGTGCTGATCCACGGAGCTTTGCTGTCAGGTTGGTTTCATGTTATTTCAAGACACTAAACTCGTCCAACAAGGGCCTCCTCATGCTGGCCTTTCTTGCAAGAAGCTAGAATCTTCCTTTGGAACACGTTTCTGTAAATCTGTGGCGGAGTCTTTTCCAGGTGCACCAGCTTCAGCCTCAGAAGTAGTATGTGTGGTGCAGGATATAAGCAATGGCGCCTCTCCTCTCGGGCAGGGTATGGTCTCAATCAGTTTTCTAGAAGAGGCAGTGTGCCCCAAGTTAAGTGGCACCCGCTTCATTATTCTCCATGATTGCTGTTTGGCTGGAAGATTATCAATTTAGATTATGGTTTAGGGGATATGATAAGCTCTCTGTTGCGTTGAGGGAGATTCCTTTCTACTACGGAGGATTGCATTCTGGGTTCTATGTTATATTCAGAATGGGAAAGATTCTTTGGGACAAGACACTAATTCACTGAAATGTGATTTAGGCATCCTCAGCTGTCTGTTTTTGTGATTGGAAACAGAACTTACAAACCAACGAAGAAATACCAAATTAACTTCCAGCAATCATGTAATTTTTAAGAAACCCCATATTCCCACCCCTAATTTTTTTCTCTTTCGTTAAAAAACGGAATAATTCCCTATTGCTTCTTTCTTTGGGTTTTCACATTTCTAGCCAGGTCCTGAAATGGATTGGAGAGACCACAGTCTCCAAAGTTGTTATTCCAATATTCCAACGAATTCTCAGTTGGGAGAATGGAACCTCTGGCATTCTTCCCAGAAAGCCTGCTTGCTTTCTTAGTGGAAAGTATAGCATAGCCTAGGAACTGAGGAGGCTGGAACTCTGATCTTGTCCTAGCTTCTGACCTTGGACAAAGCACTCAGCATCTCTGTTCTTCAATAATGTAATGATGGGTTAGGGAGTGCTGTCACTGCTGTAGGCTTCAAGAGGCTACTGAAGTATCAATGGCAGCTTTGCAGTGTTCTCTGAGATGCTTGAAGAGGATGATAGGCAGATATAAAATGTTTGTTGGATATGTATAGTGTCTTTGCCATTTTAGAAGTTTCCAATGAGCTGCATTTTAGGGAGCTATTGGGGTCGCTCTGGTCTTTTTGAAAGTACAGAGAGGCTTAAATATAGAGAGTCGCAAGGACTATTTGGAGTCAGTCATCTTCCTCATCTTATAGATGAAAAGTCTGAACCCTGAGTGGTGGCATGACTTGCCCGTGGTTGCGCAGCTGGTTGGGCAGAACTGGCATTAGAACACAGTTGTCCTTACTTCCAGGCTGGGTGCCATGGCTCATGCCTGTAATCCCAGCACTTTGGGAGACCGAGGTGGGCAGATCACTTGAGGTTGGAGGCTTGCGACAAGCCTGGTCAACACAATGGAACTAAAAATACAAAAATTAGCCAGGCATGGTGGCACATGCCTGTAATCCCAGTTATTTGGGAGGCTGAGGCAGGAGAATTGCTTGGACCCAGGAGGCAGAGATTGCAGTGAGCCAAGATCATACCACTGCACTCCAGCCTGGGTGACAGAGAGAGACAGTGAGACTCTGTCTCAAAAAAAAAAAAAAAAAAAAAGAACACAGCTAAGCTGTCCTTACTTCTAGACTGTGCTCTCTCCATGGCCACAACCTCGTTCTCCCAGCAGTTTTTCTGTCCTGATGAGTTGGATCTGTTCATTTCTGTTTCCCAGGGATTCTCTGGGAGACTGGAGGCATATGAGAGCAGCCTAGACCCTGTCCTTTCCGGCCTGTCGACTGAGCTCACTAATCTTCATCTAGTCTTTTCTGCTATCTTTAGCTTCTCTTTTAAGAAAGTACTCTAATCTCATGACTGTTACATCCTTTTTCGCAATAAACACCCTATAAACCAGCTTTAGAAATGTTTGCAAACCTGTAAATACTCATCTGAACCTTGCTTCTCGTAAGTACACACCTTAATGGCTCTGCACTAAGCAGGAGCTCCTACTTTAAAGAACTACATCTAACTGCATTCACCGATAAAGTTGAATATGCTCATGTTTTCTTCCTATGTAATACACACACCACATGAACAAAAGAAAGTATCTTTGCATCAATAGAAAGAAAAGATATTCGTATTAGGCGCCTTCATAGTTTGTGCTAGCGTGCTTTAAATTCTTCTGAGAAAGTAGAAATTGTATCTTGGCTGCAGATTACGAGTTTTATGTGACTGTGGCCTTTATTTTTACTATCCTATGCACAACAAAATAGCCCAGTGATGTCTCTGCATCACTCGATATATGCGTTACTTCCTAAATGTTGCATGTCTACACATGGAAACATACATACCAAAGGGTACTATAAATTGTCCAGTATCAGGTTTTAAGGAAGCCCACTTTACTACAAACAGATGCATTTGTTTAGCTTGCTTATGGTAGGGCTTTTGTTTGAAGATAACTGTTCTCTCACTGAAACCTTGTCTTATCGCTCCTGAATGTCTTTTGGGTTTACCTTAGCCTTCTTGCCTTCATTTTCAGAAGTAAAATGGCATGAAGCAACCTGAGCACCATAGTGGGATCCCATCTTTCCAGAAACTAAAAAGGTTAGCTAGGTGTGGTAGTGCACACCTGTGGCCCTAGCTACTTGGGAGGCTGAGGTAGGAGGATCACTGAGGCCCAGGAGGTGGAGGCTGCAGAGAACTGTGATCATGCCACTGCACTCCAGCCTGGATGACAGAGTGAGACCTGTCTCAATAAATAAATAAATAAATAAATTTAAAAAAAGAGGTAAATGGCATGAAGTCAGGTTTCCATTTGTTGAAGGTGGGAATGGTGCTCATAGTATCCACTGGTTTGGATCAGCCTTGCATCTGGTCTGTGCGTCCATCTGCCAACTCAGTGAGTTCCCTCACAAGCCCCAAATGGGTGCAAAGTAGTCTATTTTGGATTTCCTCTGCGTAAATATAGAATTCTCTTCTTTGCCCTTGTTCCTATAATGCCAACTAATTATCTCCTCCCCCTTCTCACCTAACCTCACCAGATGCAGTTAATTTACACTGTCTGTCTTTGCATTTTCTCACACAACAGGCACGCTCCACTCTGGCTCAGAAGAAGTCTGTTTATTACCTTGAAATGTGCATGTTCCGGGGAGAGGGAGAGGATGGTTCCCCAACTTTTCACCACCAAGGACCCCTTAAGCTTCCTCCTTGGTGAACACAGGGTTTTGCAGGACTTTGCCTTCCAAACTACTATGGACAAGTAATAATGCAGCTATAATTCCATTTTTATTAGTCAAAAACATATAACAAAATGGGAAGGAAAAACATCTCCTCTCAGAAATGCCCTTGATACCGTCAGTGGCCAATTAAGGGTTTTTGATTGGGGTGAGATAACCAGTGTAACCACACTGACTTGGGAGGCTTCCAGCTCAAACACAAAACAACTTGACTTTCTGGTGAGGCCATGTGACCATATCCCGGCAGATCTTCTGTTTCCAATAGGCTGTTTGAAATATGAAAAATCACTTTGACTACTTTGTGGCCCTTTAATTGAAAACCATTGGAGTTTACAATAGGAGATCCCCCATTAAGGACTTAGTTCTCCATTTCTCAGGACTTAGCCCCAGACTTGGAGTTTTTTCCCCAATACTAAATTTATTTCCTGCCTTAATCTCTCTCTAGAAAAATAAATTTATTTTCTATTTTCAGTTTTTTTTTTCAGTATGCTTGTGTGAATTCTTGGGCAACTATGCCCCTCTCCAAAAGCCCAGGCCAAAACACAGTGCAGCAGGACTTGCTGCTGAATCAAGGGTCTCCTGATTAATTTTTAGTATAGAAATCCAAAGTCCCCATCGGGGAAAAAATCCTCAAAACAGAACAGAACAAACCAGAAACAATAATGAAACATCATCCTTACTGTGGTCTTCAGCTGAGCTCTTGTCTATAAAGGCCTGTGTGGTAAATAAAAATAAAAGGCTTAAATGGATTTGCATTTGTGTTTTGGAGGGAAGTTCTAATTCAAACTTGGTTGTTATGGACTGTGTTCTCTTCAGACTCTCTTCTCTATCTGGAAGGTTCTCTGATGATCCGGTGAGCCTCTGGGGGGCTCAGGATAATCTGGTGATCTGTGAGAAGAGGGCTTTAGGGATACTCTGACTAATGTGGGAGAAGGAAGATGAGTCCCTATTGTTCCTGTCCTTGTCAACCCCATAAAAAGTCAGATGGATAGAGAGGGCAAGAATTTATTTTGAATCTTTGTAGGCTATCCATGTGTGTACTGGTAGGATATTTTCTAGTAAATAAATAAAAAGGAGGTCTAACCTATTTCTCACACACTAAATATCCCAATCTTTTGTCCCTGGACATTGGTCTCATATATTTCTGAGCTCTGTTCCCAGGAGGACCATTTTAAGCGTTGATGTGTTTTTGTTTATTTTCTTTCTTGAGAAATCAACCAAACAACAGAATGACCTTCATTCAAAAGGTTTATTCAAAAAGATCTGAATAAACTGAGGTTTAGCTGCCCATGAAGGAATTTCCTGACACCATTTTCTTTTTCTTTTGAATTAATTATGGTAAAATACATATAAAATTTACCATCAGTCATTTTAAGTGTATAGTTCAGTGGCATTAAATACATTCACATTGTTGTGCAACTATCACCATCATTCATTTATATAATTCTTTTCATCTTGCAAAACTGAAACTCTGTACCCACTGAACAATTCCCCACTACCCCTCTCCTAACCCCCCCAAAAGCACATGGAAACCACCATTGTATTTAATGTCTCTGTGAAGTTGACTACTCTAGACACCTCACGTAAATGGAACCAGGTAGTATTTATCTTTTGGTTTCTGGCTTATTTCACTTAGCATCACCTCAAGGGCTCTCCATGTTGTAGCATGTGTCAGAATATCCTTCCTTTTAAAGGCTGAATGATAGTCCATTGTATGGATGAACCACATTTTGTCTATT